GTTAATTAGCCAATGGATGATCTTAAAATGAAGCTGTTTGATTTTTCTAAACAAGTTGCACAAGGCCATTTATATAGGGGTATGCTATCTACACACCTCTTTTTACTTCTCACACACTCTTGTTAATTTTTGTTAGTTGATCTTCTTCAATTCATCTGATCCGACGACCGAAAACCAAAAAGGTGTGAGAGAAGTAAAAAGGGGTATGTGGATATCATACCCTTTTATATACCGTTGATTGTTTCATTCCAAGAATTTATGGCTAGTAATTTTTTTTCAGAGAATTGATATCTATTCGTAGACATGCACATTGCTCCATCCTCCACCTTTTATATACACGCCTGAGATTGACCGTAACATACTTGTATTAGGAATACTAGGAATTAAAAGGTCCGCCAAATTTGAAAGAGTCCAAGCTTTTGTGTGAAGGCATGCATGCGTCAACCAAAAAGCCACAAGAAGTCACGTTTCTTTTTTTCTTAAATTTTATGAGCTCTAATATCAATAAGGTTACCTAACGAAAGACTTTGAGTAAAATCGAGTGATGTGACATTTTATGATTCATACAGTCGACTTCATTTAATGGAATAATGCTTGGTTGTTGTTTATTTAACATCAGCAAGGTTCACTTTGTTGTGAGAATCTTCATTTTCAAAGCATGGTAAATTTGGTTCACGCTTTCTTCACACAGTAACAAATTGTATGCACTTAATATTATCTTTTGCAAGCTACTACTATTACATATATTTCATGGAACATTTTCAAATTTAAGACCTCTTACTTACAAGTAAAGAATAATATCACCAAACCATAATATTGAATGTCAATATGAGAGTGTGAAATAGAAAGATTAAAATAACTAAAAACATTTTAATTTTTTTATTTAAAAACTTAAAAAGTAAAAAAAAAAAGGAAAAGAAAGAGAAAAAAAGGCTCCCCGCCATTTCTACTTTCTCTCTGGCAATCCCGCGGATAATATCAAAAAGGTTATCTAACATCAAGAAGGTTATCTAACAAAAGATTTGGAGCAAAACCGAGTGCTGTAATGTTCAAAGATTCATACAACCGACTCAACTTAAAGTGGGGTAAAGCTTGGTTGTTGTGTGTTTAATAACATCAGCAAGGTTCACTTTGCTTGGAGAATCTTCATTTTCAAAGCATGGTAAATTTGGTTCACCCTTTCTTCACACAATATCAAATTGTATGCGCTTAATATTGTCTTTTGCAAACTACTACTATTACATATGTATCTTGTGGAACATTTTCGATATCCTACGTCTTGTTTTTAGGGAGCTTCTTTTTCTGTACATGTCACCTTCAGTACTTGTTGGTTGATCTCCACTAGTACAATTCCTCCTCAATAAAAATGCAGGCTGTTTTGGAAAACATCCGACGACATGGTTGGCCGGTCAGTAGCATACTCTTGAGCACAGAAGAGGGCAATTGTATGCATCTCACAATTTCGTTTATGACATAATCTTTTATATCATTTATACATAATGTTTCATACAATTTGTATTCCCGCATCAACGCCTGGGCAACATTTCTAGTAACATCCAAAGGTCCAATGTGTTCCTAGCATCCCATTCGACCTTGATTAATTAACCACGTACGTCACTCAGAACAGGCCGGACCACCTTTGTGTCCCGTCCTAGACTTTTTCTTTTAATTGCGGGTTGACAGTGGCATGATTAGTGTCTAAGTAGGTTTACTCCTAAAACCTTGTGTCATAAAGTTATCAGTCTTCCTACATGTCTTTGGCGGTCGAAAAGTACTTCTATGTAGCCTTGTCACGCCCCGATCTCGACCTACGTCCATGATCGACACATGACGTCACCAAGTAACCATAAACCTAACAGATCCCATTTTTGGGATATGTACGAAGCATAACTCAAGAATCGAATCGCATAGTAATTTTTTTCGTATACTTTATGGATGCATCTAACCTCCTCGTTAGACTGCCTACGTACCCTCAATAAGGATCAAGCCATTTGTAGTTCACCATTCACAAAATCATACATTTATCCCACTGAGTTCAAGCAGAAAAGCATAACATTCCTCAATCATTTAATATAACCTAATAGCATGAAATTCCTGGGCTCAGGCTACATAACAAACCCTCATGAAATCATGATTTCTCTTCCATCCTATACATAAATCATTATGTCTCATCATGATATCACAATTCACAACATACATCGTATTTAAGAACCGACGAAACACAAAAACATTCTCTAGCCACATTAATTAATTAATTTGATCAAAGTAATAACAATCATTCCCATATCTTCTAAATTCATACCTTATGAAATCATAATCGAATTGTAGCAAATCCCAAAGGAATCACCCAGACGTCCAACATCTTTTCTAACTCAATTCACAAGATTCTCGAAACCATTGGCACAAATATATATATATATATATATATATAACTATGGCTAGAGTGACACAGTTAGCCCAAGCCTACTTCTCCAAATAATGGGATTTTAGATCACTCTACGAAATCCAACAACCTCGGATTCCGGACTACTCAACGGAACCAAACTAAATATGATCGCCTATCAAATATACCAAGTACAACTAATCATCATCACCTCTAGAATGCATATGGTCCCCCATCGCGGATATACCAAGCAGAACCATAGGCCTAATCTCATCGTGCAGACAGTGATCATCTATCGCGGATATACCAAGCATGATTACCCCTAACAGTCCCCCATCACGAATATACCAAGCAGGATTATATCATATAACTCTAGGTAGTGATCACCCATTGCGGATATACCAAGCATGATCACTCCTAACATACGTATGGTCCCTCATCCCGGATATATCAAGCAGGACCATCCATGTACCACTACTACATGGTGCGGTCTCATCATCACACATTATACTCAATTATACGTATACACACTATCGATTCCACATATCAACCAACATCTAGTCATATGGAGCACAGTACAAGGAATTCCCCTAATTACTATTTTTACTATAAAAAAAAATCTAATAAAGTACCTAACTCATCTCCTGACTTTCATCCCTATCACATACTAGGTAGTAATGCCAAGTTCAAATAGGTATTCAGTTGGCAATCATATCCAAATAATTATCAAACAATAATTAGATCCCATAATTGTCATAACATTCATCATAATTATCATTCACATTATTAAAAAGATAATTAAACACACACACACACACACACACACACACACACACATATATATATATATATATATATATATATATATCACAAACATCATCATTACACAAGCCAAATCATATGTAATAAGCATAGGTCTATGGCTAAATATATAAAAATCACATTTCAATAGAAATCATATTTATAAGACCAAATCATATTCACAAATGATACCAATATAAGAAATCAAGATAATAATAATATCTCATATATTCAAGTCACTATCTAACCAATATAGGCCCACTAGACTTCAATTGGTCCGTAGTACTAATTTTATTATTTAGAACGTTTCAAGACATGTTGACCACAAATCAACTCTCTGTCGATGATAGGGTCCACAACTCTACGTAATTTGATCCTGAAGATCCGCACATCAGATTTCTGATCCATAACTTCCCAAAGTTCACATTATGCTTCTAGAATAACATACTAAAATTTCATTATGATCCAACTGTCAAATCTCCGCCAATCACGAATTTAAATGGCGGTCGACGTTTTATTTTACAAAATTATAAATCCAATTCAAGAAGATCCATATGTCAGATTCCCGATCCGTAAGTTCCTGTTATCCTCAAATATTACGTACTATAACATATTAAATTTTGGTGACGATCCAACGATCTAATCATCGATTCATATAATGTCTAAGTTGCGGTCTCCATCAAATCTATAGTCATATGATGAAATTTCATCAATCAGACTTCACATATCGAATTGGGGTATCAAATTTATCCTAGGAAGGTCAGGGGTTAATTCGGCCCACGCGCCGCCGACTTGTCAAAAAATTCAACTAATTCCAAAAATTACCAAATTTTACAGGCATGTAGATCTCAATGAGGGGAGTAATTTTTATACCTGTGGCTAAGGCCAATTTGGCCTGGAAATGCCTGAAATCACTCACAAACAGCCGGAACCCTAGAATTGGGTGTGCTTCGATTCGAACTCCATACTTGCTCCGACGTCTCCAAGGTTGTTTGGGCTTTATTCCTGGGTTCAAGGAGAGTCTAATGGTGGTGGTAACAGAATGAAATCGTTTCACAAATGATGAATCACGACGAGGTTTCCCGCGGCACCCATGGTGTGTTTTTCACCAAACTACAACTAAATTTCCTATGATTTTGGGTGGGAATGGTAGAGGAGATGTTGTAGAAGAGGTTGTAGGTGTTGGTTAGTGGTGGTTCAACCGAAAAAATAATGAAAACCGCCGGAATTAGAACCGGGTCAAAGCTAGTTAGGTGGGTCGACGGGAAAGGGGTATTTTTCCCTCCTTCCTTTTTCCTTTTTCTTTCTCCTTTTGTTTCCTCCTTTTCCTGATTGGTTGCTTCCCCCCCCCCCCAACTTTATTTATTTATTTTTTTTTTCTTTTCAATTTTGATGGTCCACTTAAGCCCATATCGATCTGGGCCCTTACCCACAAAGTGGGAGATAATCAATTTCTAAAATTTATAGTATCACAACTTCAAACGTCTGTAATTATACCGTTATAATCCGGACTCGCAAACGGCTTTCGCCTATGCGTTCGTAGGATTGAGCTATATTCAAAAACGTTACTTGTGACCTCAAAAGGTCAACGAGTAAATAATAATTCCCAAACTTCACTCTTCGTAACTAGTTTAATTGAAATCTAAATTCAAATAAATTAAAAAAAATTCTCAAAAAATAATATAAAATCTCAATACTACAAATACGTAGATTATAACAATGAAATCCAGGGACATGATTTCACAAGCCTGGTCAGACTGATGCTGAATGTTGCAAATAATTTATAGCTTGTATTTACAACAAGACAAATGATGAGTATAGCTGATGTAGAACTTAGATCCCCAATTATAGGGCATATATTTTATAACGTGTATTTACAACATGACAGATGATGAGTGTTGCAAATTAATATAGAACTTAGATCCCTGGTTATAAGGCAAATTATTGAGTGAAATCGGGGTATATCCTCTCTTCTTATCTCACTCATCATGTGATTCTCAATTGAATAATATAGTCTGTCTGATTATAAGTCTGGTTCTCCCCTTAGCGACCTTCTGCTTCTGTATAGGTCATGTCATTTACAGAGCAAGCTCCATCAGTATTGGTTGATGGGTCTCCACTAGTATGATAACCTCTCTTCAACAAAAATCCAGGTTGCTTTGGTGAAGGAATTGCTGCATCATTACCCAACATGGAAACCACTGCTGACATGAGTGGACGATCCTTCGCTTGCTCTTGCACGCACAAGAGGGCAATGTGAATACATCTTAGAACTTCATTGACAGGGTATGATTCTCCTAGAGATGAATCAATGATTTCCAAGGCTTTATTTTCCTTCCACAAGTCCCAAACCTAAAAATTTACAAATTAATCATCAAGTTATAAAAGCAGATGGAGAGAAGTTTGGTAATGTCTTAATGTTATGCTTACATGTCCAATTATATTTGAGTAAGGACTATCTTGGTAGTAGCCGGTGTTCTTTCTGCCAGTAACAATTTCTAGTAGTAAAATGCCGAAGCTATATACGTCAGACTTTACTGAAAAAAATCCTTCCATTGCGTACTCTGGTGACATATAACCACTGAAACAACAAAATAAAATTGCTTAATTATCACAGCTTCTTTCTGTATTATTCAACAAAAGTTAATTGTACTTGTAGGGATGAAACTTTTAAAAAACAAGTGTACTTTCAGTTTTGAATGAAACTTACTATGTCCCAACCACACGGTTTGTATTTGCTTCAATTTGTTCAGCTCCAAATATCCTAGCCATACCAAAATCTGAAATCTTGGGGTTCATAGCAGAATCCAACAGAACATTGCTGGCCTTTAGATCTTTATGGATGATTCTTAATCTCGAATCCTGATGAAGATATAAGATCCCTCTAGCAATCCCACAGATTATCTCAAAGCATCTTGTCCAATCCAAGAACGCCTCTTTTGCTTTGTATGGGAAAAAAAATAATCAAAGTAAATTAGATTGTATTCTTGCTTGGTTCAAGGTTTCTAACCGACAATTTTAGATACACAAGTTAAAAGAAAGGCAGTTGTAACTAAGTTGAGTTAAGAGCATTCAATCCTACACCTGAGGTCCTGAGCTTGATTTCCCCTCCACAATATTGCTTGTATAAAAAGAATAACAAAAGTGAACGAAAGACATACCGAAAATGAAAAAGTCAAGACTTTTGTTTGGCAAGTATTCATAGATCAGCATCTTCTCTTCATCTTGAACGCAGCAACCCATGATCCTTACAAGGTTCCTGTGTTGGAGCTTTGAAAGCAGCACAACTTCATTCTTAAACTCTCCAATTCCTTGGCCAGAATTCTTGGCTAGTCTTTTCACTGCTATGTCCTTTCCATTATCAAGCACACCCTGAATTTATAATCCAAATTCAACTTATAGTGCACTTACCTTTCAGGAAAATTATCAACATAATCGTAGCTCTATATATATATATCCTCCCCTTGAAATTGCATTTATACATTAACAAAGGAGTAAAACTCAATGCATATGCATAAAAATGCTTTGACTACTTCAAGTGAAGGAGAAATGCGATTGAAATAACAAAAGATTGCAGTATTTTGAATTATTACTTTAATCTAAAGTAAGGTTTTCAATTGCACTATTTTGTTGTATTTACAACTCTGCCACTATTTGTTTGTTGACCAAAATGCCCACAATTTTCTCCAGAGGGTTTGGTACGGTTGGGAATCGGTTTAGACGCGCTCTCCTCTCACCTCTATTCCTCTTTCTCTCCTACGCGTGCGCTCTCCTGTCATCTCTCATCCCTCCTCTCGCTCCTTCTCTACTGGAAAACCCACAATGTTTCATCTTCCTCTGCTCTTCTTTTCTCTCCGATTCCCGTATCTCTTGATGTCAGAAAGCGTCTTACGGTATGTTGAATTTCTCGAATTTCCCTTTATTTGGGCTTCCTCTATCCTTTTTGCGTTTGATTGGGAGTTTATAATTAGGGTTCTTGGGATGTGAGAGTCGATCTTCCTAGCGCTGGCGGCAACGGCCGGAAACAATATCGGCAAAATTCTGCTGAAGAAGGGCACCGTCGTTCTTCTTCCTCTCTCTTTCAAGCTCAAGGTAGGTGCTTTCTCATTGTTTTTGTTTGCCCATTTTGTCCTTTTTGATTTTGTGATTGCGTTCGAATGGGGTTGAGTTGATGGTCTCAAATGACTCCTTATCATCTTAGGCATCTTCTACAACTATTGCATGTGAAAATCTGCTTCAGATGGAGTTCTTCGTTTAAATTGGGTTTTATTAAGTTTTTCATGTTTTTCTAGAATTCTTCGTTATTGGTCCAAATATTTGTTCAGAATGGAATTTTGGGTAATGATCATTTTCCTCAGCATTTTTTTGTTTCGTCTAAGATGTAGTCCGACAATTGCTCGGGTGACAATGTCCATTGGTGAGATTGGTTGGATTAGCCCACTTTTTGGTTGGTATATGTTTACTTATGCGGCTTTCTGTATATATTAGACTTCTCCTGCTGTAATTTAACAGATTTAATTGTTACTTCATTCAACGAATAGCTCTTCAGTTTCCATTTTGAAATCGGCATTGTTTACTTTCATATTGATTCACCATCACCTAACAAGGTTTCTTTGGACCCAAAACAAATCATAATTAACTATTCACTAATCTATTCGCTAATCTGCTGCTTTAGTGTCATTGACTTTTTAGATTGGGAAGCACCATACTGTTTCCAATCAATTAGTTTGATAGGTGCTTAACAATTTCCTAGGGTGGGAAACACTTGCTTTTTCTGTGTAGAAGATTAATACCATGCAACCATCACTTGTATATAAGTAGTATGGCTTAACAATAGGTTTGTGAATAGATTTCCACACACACACACACACACACACATATATATATAAGTAGTATGGCTTATCATATATAGATTTAAAACTTTCTACGTGTTTTATACAGTTTCAAAATCCACATCACTGTGTGGGATAATTGTGAAAAGTCGAAACAAGATAGTTCCCATCACTTATCGATTATTGATTGGGTTTGAATTTTAATGAAATATATTTTTGAGTCAGCCTTTCCAGTCTTTATTGGACGGGTCTCTTGATTTTTGTTAAACTGTAATGGTCTTGTAATCCTATTGTTTGCAAGTGTCAATAGCCTGTGAGCTAAATGTTAGCTTAGCTTGTAAGCAATATAGTTTGGATATATATCCTTATGGATCACTACCTTGTATTTTTTCTGAAATCATTAACAAAGATTCACTTTTTCTGTCTAAGATCTCTCTCTCTCTCCCTAAATCTTGCTCCCTCTCTCTTCTTGATTCTCTTTCTTTCTCTGCAAGATTTCTTCATTATGTTCTTCTGTTTAAACTACAAGGGTGAGTAGAGGTAAAAATAATTGATTTGGAGTGCAGATGGCTAAAAAATAAATCTAAGAAATGTCTATTCAAAGTTTGATTTATGATTTGAGACATTATCTGAGGGCAACAACGTACCTTATAAACGGAGCCAAAACCACCTGTTCCAAGCTTGTTGTTGGAAGCGAAATTATTTGTGGCCTTAACTATGGTACTTAGTTCAAAGAATGGTAATTCAGAGTTTATTCCACTTTCATCAATATTTGTTCTAGCAGAAGAATCTTCCCAGGCGGTTGATGCTACGGTCACATTGAAAAATTTATCCTGACTTCTCTGACCTGTGATAAAAGTACATAAACAGATAATGTTGTGTTCTTATATAATTCATAATTGTGAATGATTAGAGGGCAACCTAGTAAAAGGAAATTTGTTTACCTTTTCTCTTCCTCTTTACCAACCAACATGCAAGGGAAAACAAGAGGAAGAACAATAGACCACATGCTACTGAAACTTCCAGCTTCCTCTTCTTGCCAAAAGAACTGTTTGACTTCTTTGCATTTTGAGCTGCAAATATACAAGCATTTATTTCCATGTTTAAAAACCTTGAAAAAATTTGGGAAAAAAAACCTTGTAAAAAGCTCCAATGACCATAAGAACTAAATTTTTAGTATTAATTTATAGAAATTTCTGAATTTTTTTATAAAAAAAATTAGTACTCTAAAAAAGTCATCTTACACTCTTGATGAAACAATTTCACTTTTATTATTTGGCAAGAGATCAGTGCCAAATGATTTTTTTTTTTAAATGATAACAAACGTACAATTACCAAACTAAATAATAATTCCTCAAATTTTTTAATGAAATAAAGAAAGAAGATTTTTTTTCTTTTTTATATGGAACCTTGGCGTTATGAGGGGAATTATTGATAAGGAAAAGAGAGGAGAGAAGATAAATTGATAATGGAAATATACCTGAAACATTTGCATGAACTCGCACATATAAATCTTGACCCGTATCCAAATAAGTCCTTGTGTCCATCAAGTCCCCATGCCATGTTATACAGCCACTCCCTCCCTGCCTTTCATCTGCATTTGCGTATGCCGTGCAAGAACAATTTCTCAGGCATTCTTCTTTACATGCTTCCCGACTCCTACTCATGTTCACACGTGCCGTAGAAGTGTCCGGCACCTTCACACGTTCCAACTTCACGAACCCTTCCCCGTTTTGGCAAACGGATGATCCTTTTTGCCTCACGCACCCGCCTGACCAATCTCTCAAATACCACTCATGTCGCAACTTGGGTTCGAATCCAGGTAGGCATTTGCACTCAAATTTATCGGCAAATTTTGGGTATGGGTCACAAATGCTATTCGGACCACACTTCCCGTAAAAATCACACTGCCCATCCGGCGCGGACCAATACTGGACCCATTTATTATCTTGCCATGCGGACCGTTCAATGTTTCCTGATTCATCGATCACCATCTTTACGAAGATTGATTCATAAACAACACTATACATGATGGATACCTCATCTTGATTGTTCTTAAAAGTAACGTTGAAGAAGATCTTATTTTGCATTTGAGGCACCCCGGACCATCTTTCACCGATCCAAGGTCCAGTCCGCCACAATGGAGTCTGACCCATGTATAAGAACCCCTGTGGACTCTCACTTGGCTCTATCCGGTACGAACAGTTGCCCATTCCCGGGTCATCCTGGGATTTCCAAGATGTGAGGAACCAGTTGAACCCGGATCGCCTGTCCAGCCCAAGTTTCATAACAGGAAGCATCGTATTTGTGGGATAATCAAAACCTTGCCACAACACCTTTTCACTACTACCGCCATTAATTTCAACTACAACAAGATTTCCCGTATCCAAAAGCTTGGCTATCACGGAATTGTTTGGAGAAGACGGTGAGATTAGTGGACCAGATAGGGGTATTTTGGTCCTCCCCATACAAAACAAGGCCACCGTGATCTGCATGAATGGCTAGAAGTCCAGTTCCAGCAGTAGGAACTATGGGGTTTTCTCTGTTTGCAATCCAAACAATGGTTTGGATTGGAATTTTGTTGTACCAAACTCCGATGTAACGGTTACGAGAATTGCCTGGCTTAAAAAACCCTAGTGCAAAGAATTTAGTGGTGGAGAGAAGAACGTCGTCCTCTCTTAGGGGTTGGTTTGGTGTAATGGCGTCTAGGGTAACCGAAATGGAAGAGGGAAGAATCACAAGGAAGAGGAGCAATACAGTACTGACAAAAAAGTATTCAGTAGAATTCATTGTTAGCTTTCTCATGGAGGAGTTTAAGTGCTAAAATGGCTGCTTCTTTTGACATGCAGAAACAAAAAGCCGGAAAGGTTGGATTTTGTTTTCTTGGATTGAGTTTCAGTAACTCTAAGGGCATACGGGCGACTTCCAGTCGTTGATGCAACGGTGAACGCACCCTCGATTTCCAGTCGTTGATGCAACATGAACTTACACGCAACTTCCAGGCAAACATGTGGACGAGACATAACAATTCCCTCAAACTGATCCTAGCTAGAAAGTTCCACTTCATCAATTCTGACCACACCAGTTGTATTCAGTAGATTGATAAGACAAATTGGCTCCGAATGGGGCCAAGTACGACCCGTAGTGGCCAGGGAGAGAGATGTTCACGCTGTTGAAGAATGCAAAAATATATGTCGAAAAATTGATAAATAAATTACAATATATAATAAATGATTTTAACTTTCATTTTTGTCATAAAATTCAACACCCCGTAATGTGCTAGTAGATAGTAAAATGCTAGGTGTGATTAGTATGGACATTATGGTAAAAGCGATCTGTTATAAAATGAAATAAAGGTCAACCAATTTGAAAAGTCTTGGAATTTATTTACGGGAGTTTTAACGAAATACTTTTGGTACTGTTTACTTTAACGAATTTACTCTAAAAAGTCACTCCTCGTACTATTCACTTACAACATCTTTTTGTCATTTTTGTTAAAATTCAAAGTTTTCAAGTCATTTTCATTAATTTTCCTTTTATTTATTTGGCAAGCAAAGCATCACAGATCAACATCTTCTCTCCTGTACATGAAGTTTGACTAACACAAATCTCTCATTCTTAAACTCTAATAAATGTGAATGTGTCATATGTAGTGGACGGATTTACATTTCAAATCCAAGGCTGTTAGCAATCAAGCATCCACCATAGTACAAACAACAACAACAATAAAGTCTTATCTTATTAAGTAAAGTCAGTTGTATGAATTCTATAATGTCATTGTGCTCGATTTCTCGCCAAGTTTTCTGTTAGCTAAGGCCCCACCATAATATATGTCACATAATTTACAGAATTAGCTAACTAGACTAGTATAATTTCTCTTCAATTACGTTGTAATCGAGACCAATAATTTTGACATGCCCTGCATGTCAATGCACTAGAAAGAAAATTGGAACCTACTTATTTGAGGCAAAATTTTTGTGGTTAATAACCTTTTACAAGCTACCAATAGTTGCTTAACATACAGCATTTCGGAATATCTTAAGAGTTTTAGCGAGGTTCTACGCTACTACATCTCACATCGTTTACAAAATTTTATCCTTCAGTATTGTGGTGATGGGTCTCCATTGTTATATATAACTCCAATAAAAATGCTGGTTGTTTTGGTGATGGAGCTGCTGCTTCATTACCTAGCATGAAAACAACCACCGACATTGTTGGCAGCTCAGTGGCATACTCTGTTAAACCTAATATGTTCATGTGAATCAAAACGCCATGAAAACACTAACCTTGAGAAGCCATTCTCAATAGCACAACAAGCCACGAATTGCAGCAAGCACACGAGCACACTAAGAACACAAGCAAGGCCGCCTACACACTCACCACCATTGTATAACTCAAACCTCTGGGGAATTCTTTTGGGTTGTTATTTAGTGGTATGTGCAGGGACTTATGTTTAGTATTTATACTAACTCAATCCTAATGCATCCTCCCGCCACTTAGTACTACAGTCTAATGATATTCTTCTTCACTGGTAAGTGAGAGGTTTAGATTCGATTCTCGCCAAAGGCAAATTTGAACCCTATTATGAGGCATAGCCCACTCTGCCACCCCCTTAGTGTAGATAATATCGTTTGTTAAAAAAAAAACCTAATTCATCCTCCCATAATGATGTCAGTAGGACTCGTTATTGTACGAGGAAATAATCTACCAAATCTAAATCAAAATAGGATAATATCAGGAGCTCTTATTCTCCAAGAATAACTAGAATATTATCTTTACATGGAACCCAAGTTATAGCTTATAACTAAACTCTAATCCTACTTACAGTCCATAACAGGGCAATTTAGATGCATCTCACAACTTCGTTGACAGGGTACGATTTGCCCAGAGATGAATCAACAATTTCAAAGGCATTGCCTCTTCTCTCCACAAGGAATCTCGATTTGAGTAAAAAAACTTGAGAAGTAATGCAAAATCTCTACAAG